GTATTTCTTTGTCGGGAGTGGGGTTTTTCTTTTCAATTTCCTATTCGAATTATAATTTTCTAAGTTTTTTTTTTTTCAGTTTATTTGAAATAAAAATACTTCAAAAACTAAAAATTGTCCCTAAAAAGATATGTTTGCAATTACTTAAGATCAATATATAAAACCATGACTTAAAAAGAGCAGATTATATGGAAAAAAGCTACGTTCAGTCACTTCAGATTTAGTGACTTATTAATTTCATTGCTTAAAATGGAAACATAACTCTTATGATTTCTTCTTTTGGTGCGAAAAAGTTTTGCGCCTACCTATGCCTGGAAATTCGTAAGGCCTAAATATTACTAATATGACCGACTGTATATTTGAACATGAGCTATTACCTAAAATTTTCAAATATTTGAACGAACCTTTAAATTATTTTTTTATTCATGCGATTATTTATTGATTTGCAGCTTTCAATTCACTCTCTTGTGACAGGTAAGACGATATACTTTGAAAGATATATATATATGTATATATATTAATATGTAGCTTGTTACGTCGCCTGCTCCTATGTTATTTTGAGTTAGCCACGTTACACGGTGTGGTCCCGCTTCCTCTATGTGATTCTATTTTGCTATTTTTTCTATGGTCGTTTTTTGTTTTTTTTTTTTTTGTCTTCGCTGTAATTTTTTCGCTTGCCTTTAGCAACTTGTCATTTGTCTCACGTTTCTTAATTAGTGTAGCTACATAGCCGGCAAACAGACGCACGCATAAGCAGACGCGCTGATGATGAAAATATATGTTTGGTGGATTGAATGCACGTAGCGCGCTGGGCTTGCGATGCTTTTAGGAGTGAACGTCTCATATTTCTTTTTATTTGTATTTCCTTTTTTAGGATGATTTCTTTATACTTATTTATTTTTAGCTGCCATTTCTCTACTACTCTCTCGCTATCCTGCTAGCACTTGACACGTGTCATAATTATTGTTGTCCTCTGCCAACCGTTCGTTTGAGTAAATTGCTCAGGCACTCACTCACAGCTAAATCGCGCACGTTGCAAGGTGAAATTTTCTCATTAATTTTACGCATAATTGCAAGGTAATTGAGGTAAAGAATTTAATGCCAACTAAAATTGGTAGATTGGGAATTAGAGGAAGCAAGCACTTGGAGTTTCCTATTTATAAATATTTAGATACGAATATAATTATAATTTAACTAAACGGACTTCAGGTATTGTCCTGTCAGGAAGATTAAATTGCCCAGCATATTTTTATGTAAATATTTTCCTAAACATTGAAATAATAATAAATAAATTTTTGCAAGTGACACGACCTGCAACGTAGGCGTTTTTACGCTCAAGTCAGAGAATTTATTAAATCATACAAGAGCACCTACTCGATGACGCGGCGTATACGTAACCAGCCGCTATTGTATGAGGACTGAAGGAATTGTGGTAGATTACAATATTAAATTATGGTAGGTAGAGCGCTTTTGATAAACTCACGTGGTTGCAAAGTAATATGGTAGAGTTGAATAAGTTCGAATGAGAAGGGAGAAATATAAAAGAAAGGAAATAAACGCATCGATTTATTTTTATTATAGTTGCATTTTATTTTTGGTTAATGCATGCATATATTTAGCTCAGCTGGCTTATGTATGCTGTCGTAATAAATCTTTACTGATACATATACATACGTACACCCATACATTTGCTTATACATCTACTGCGTATATCTCAACAGGTATTCTTATAAAAATTTGCTTTTAAATAGCTTCATTTCGTTCTTGTCCGCTCAACAGGTGCAGCTGCAAGTATAAGAAAATGTAGGTTTTTAAAAGCTTTTAATATAATTTTTACTGAAAAATCAATATTTCAAGTGATATATGTTTTTTTTAAAGGAGGAAAAAATAAATTTATATAAATGATATTTATGTGCGATATTAGAGATCGGCTTACCCCGTTCAGAGCGCAGTTTTATTTTCTTAAAAAGTTAGAAAATCGGTGTTAGATACCGCGTCGTGTCGAGCGTAGAAGAAATTTATGAAATTGCTCCATTTTTAAATCTTTCGCATGCCCAAAGTTCTCTAGGCTACCACACTGTAGCGTCTTTTCTATCATCACAGCTTCGCTAAATTATCAAACGTGAAGAGAATTTAACCATGATAAGCTCGTTGTTTGTCTAAATATAATATATGTGAGCTTAAGTTTGGTGAAAAGATAGGCACCTTTTTATTTTAAAATTACACGGCACAGTGGTTTATTTCATACATAATGAGTAATAAAGGTTAAAATCTGTTTCAGTATTCAATTAGACAAAATTGTTAACCCTTTTTGGCCTAATGTTGCGTATTTGTAACATTGGTCTATTGTTGTAATTTTCGAAAAATAAAAACTTTCTTCTGTATCCCGATTCTAAAAGGCACCGAGAAGATCTTATTCAGGCTGAGTTGAAACTGACGAGGGTGGGTGGTTAAAATAAGGAGCAAGGGCCTGATATAGGCTATGCAATACTGGGATCCTAAGCTCTAAATGCTTAATGTTGCATATCCACTACATCATGTAGCTCTTGAACCACCACAGCAAGGACTTTGAAATTTTTGTCAGTTGGTATTGAGGTCAGCTCTATCTTATACATTAAGACCGAAATGACATTTGCGCACGCTGAATCACTTTTTTTTTTTGTTAGGATGGTAGCACTGTTCTTAATTACTATGCCAAAAAATAACGTCATCTGATAATCCAAGAAAAACAGTCGACCTCATGTCTCTCTGCGAATTTTTTTGTACGGCCTCAATCGGGTAGAAGCGGATTCAGTGGTAATTTGAGGTTTGGAAACAAAAAGAGTCAAGTCAAGGCCAAGTATGGTGGTTGATCGATGGTATTGAAAATAATTTCCGGAAGCTTTCTGATCTTAATGTAAGTCTGCAAAAAACTTTAGCCACACCCATTTGAATTCGGGCATGAGAGGGTTCATAGAATTTTAAAAATCATCTTGAAAATTTGAAGATATTAAGCCTACTGTCGATCAAGTCACGGTAGATCGCTATTTGCAAACAAGCACATGATTGCAGCACTCCCCGCAGTTTAGGGGTTAAAGAATTTGCTCTTATTAAGGTATACCTGTCATAAGAGGCGATTGAAATTCAATAGTCCCCACGACCATCGAGATTTTATACCGTAATTAACCGAACTTTTATTCGGTCAAAAACTGTCACTCGCAAAATATTCCCCGAAATCCATCAGCTATAGCGTCAACTTAGCAAACCCTATTTGCTCATTAGTTCTTATGTCGAAAATCACGAGAACTTTTCATTAGAGAGTAAATCTCATGAGTTTGAAAATCGTTCAATAAGGTAGGTAAGTAGAGTCCTAGGTAAGAGACTGTTCGACTAATCAACAGATGTTTACTGAGCTCGGTTTGACAAAATTTATAATGACCCCTATCCATTTTCAGGTGTAAAAAAAATCAGGTCACTCTCCTCCTGATCCCTCCAATGGAGTAAAAGTGATTTTCTGCTACCGCCAGTAGGTACTGCATCGAATATTGTTCAAAGCTAAATCGTATAATCGGCGCTGCCAGCGTGCAAGGGATCATATTTTCTTCGCAAAACTATTCTCTTGAAGACTCCCAGGATCACCTCATCGGTATAACGGTATAATAAGCGACTTGTAGAGTTTGAGATTTGTTCGTCGAGAGAGGACTAGACTCTTCAAAAGCCAACTCAGTGCAAAGTAACGCTTGTTGGCAAGAATGAATCTGCGCTGGAATACAAATTTCAAGAAATTCAAATTTCAGACACAGCGACGTAGAGGAAGATCCTTACTGTGCTGTCATAGAATGAACGCACTTATTACTGATGCCTACACATTGTCAGCTGTAGCTGATTTGTAATACTGTAGTCCTGCAATCGGTATTCGAGGCCTGCCATAGTGGGATAATGGAACGTCTTTTTTACCATCACCGCATGGGGTTTCACTATCTAAGAAATTTGTACTTTCTTTCACTGTCACTCAGCAGATTTGAGTAGAGTTTCTTCCATGAAACTAATATGCACTGGAAATCACTCACCAAATAACTGTCTTAGCTCTCACAACAATATATTGTATAACCAATAAAATTTAAATTGTGGGTAGTGTCTATGGCATATATTACGACAATAAAAAATTAATATTAGCCAAAGGATTGGTGGCTTAATCATATAAAGATCATTAACTATTTATTTTATTTTCACTAAATTTTAGTTTCATACTCATGGCTCTTAATAAACACAATACTTTCTATATTTTCCATAATTTCATAGCTCAGTTGTTGCTTGCTTGCTGAATTATGGGAAACATTTTATAAGTGATGTTTAAAAGTTCGCCGTAAAATAATTTCCCAACACTCGTAGATACTTCGTGTATCTATGAATGCGTGCTATGTTTTTCGAATAAATCGAAATTTTTGACTGCTCTTTGTAAAAGAGTAGTGGTTTTTGGCACATGAACAATTTTAAAATACATATAAGAGTAACCTTTCGTTTTATTTCGAACTTCATATTCATCGTATTCTCTCAGTAATTTCGAAAATGTCCTCCACTCACTCTCTCTCTCGCCCTTTCTCTCTCTCTCTGTCTCTCAATTTATTTTCATTCATTTATTTACATACTAACAAATCTGTACATTAAATCAGGACTAGGACAACAAAGTTCCCACGAGTACGCCCACCCTACAGCTAGCCATAGACACACACATACAAACTGAACAACTGAATTTCGAAATACTATGCCTACAATGCGCATTTTCCAACGCATAATACCATTGCTACTTGGAGGCTTGCCACACTTCGTATCCGACACTCGCGTGTACTAAAAAAAACGCCACTCAAAGCACAGTAGGCAAAATAAAAGACGATTACGCCACACAACGAAGCCGAAATGCATCGAAATTTACGTTTGTCGCATAAAATGCGACAATTGTCGTATGGCAAATTCAGTATACGAAAGTTATTTGCTGCTGTCGCATCCGTCACGCTGTCGAGGTGGTGGTCGATTTTGTAGTGTTTGAGGTCGCAATTGTACGCGTCATCGTCGTCGCTGTTGTCGATGTTGCCAATATTGTCGGTAATGTCGGTATTGTATAACGTGTGTGTGCCGCAAGTGAGTGAATTGTGCCGCGTCGTTAGGTCGAAGTGACAGAAACACGTTAAAATTTTAAAAGCAATTTGGCATAATTACAAACGGTTGTGCCACAAACGGTACGCGTGTGAAACGTTCTTGGGTTTTTTTTTTCTGAACAAATTCAATAATAAAAGCAGAGCTTAAGATGTGCTCAAGAGTTTATGTGTTTGGATATTATACAGCAAAGTGAAGCTGAATAGCTAACGAGTATATTAAAAATATATATATTAGAGGAGAATGAATGATAAGTTAAAAGGAAAAATTAATAAAAAAAGCAATATCAGTGAAGTGAAAAAATAAGCTGACTTTTATGAATTTAATATGAAGAATTAAAAGTGCAAGTAAATTGTTTGTCAAATAACAAATCGCGAATAAAAATACTGGTTAGTAGAAAAAGATGTTTCAACAACACTTCGTTTACACCTCACCCATGCTTCACTGCAAGCTTCAAGGAGTTCTTTATATCTACAATCTCTATTAACAAACTCGTTCGCTGTGGATTAATTGTTTGATTAATTGTTTAGTGTATTGCATGCCTAATGCAGTTAACCACAAGCTGTTCAACACTTGTGCCGATTCATGTTTTCACTAAAAGTAAAAGTAAAAATCAGTACATCAATCGTTATGTCACTGCAAAGGCAACAATGTGAAGAAATGTGTTTGTGCAAACTTAAATGAAAGTTCGTTATGTGCAAGTAAGCACTCAGTGTTTAACGTATTTAGCGGTTGTAAATAAAAACTTTTTTCGGTAACAAAAACTTCTTACTTGTGTGCAAGTGAAGTTCTGCATACGTGCATGAGAAGTAGAAGAAGAAGAATGTGAGAAAGTTATTTAATTATCGGCAAAAGCAAAAAGTAGAGAAGGTAATTTTGTCCACATAATTATTTGTACAAAGAGTTTGTGAAAATTTGAAGGACTGAACCAAATATAATATACAAAAATGGTTTCACTTGGGAATTAAGGTCTATAATTTGCATAAAATTAATAAAACTAAAAACGAACACGACAATAGTATATCAAAGAGTGTGATATCCTATAAAATTCATGATAAAATAATTTATTGGTATTTACCCAGCAATGTACCAGTATCATACTAGTTCAAAGAGTACCAATATTTCGATGATAGTAAAAGTATAAAAACAACTAAATATGAGGGTTACTCATTAATTCAGTCCGTTCCCAAAAGATTTCTCCACCTGCCAACTATGACAATTATTATAAGCGTTTATCTATTTTATTCAAAAAGTTTTACATATGTCAACAACAATTAGTGTGCATTAGCGTCTGTTTTTGACAACAACATTTTTTTCTGTCTCTTCCAAAATGTCCGGATTTGAGTTAAATAAAGTTTTGATTTTATATACTAATTGGAAGCAAAGTGTTGCTGTAGCCCGGCGAATGTTTGTAAAAGTTTATGCTTCCGATTTATGCTGACCGGTTAACTCAGGCAGTGAGTGGTTTCGATACTACAAAGTAGTGATTTAAACATCGAAGGCAAAAAGTGTTCTGTTGTGACTAGACGGGTGTTGTGTTCTCTGAGCTGAAACTATGTAGCTATGAACTGAACAGCCCGAAATAACCGCAGATGGGTTTGGAAGTGCTGAAATGGGACTGAAGCAAAACGATTTAGGAGGTTGTCTTTTAAAAAAACGCAGATCAGTTCATTTCTTGGATCAGCTACAATGAGGACCTTTTTTTAGTGATGATATGCGAAAATTACTAGACAGATGGAAAAAAGTAGTCGATTCCAGCGGACGATCCTTTTATATTTTCAATTATTTTTTTCTTAAAAAAAATCACTATTTTGTGGACAAAATCCGGATCGAGTACATTTTTATTCTCCAAACAGTTTTAAGTTAGTGTGAGTGAAGAAAAATTGCACTAGTTAAAACAACAAATACAATATTAAATAGTGTTGTCAACAATCTTCAATTCAGGTCTCCCTCTTTGTAAAGTAACTTCTTTATTATTCTCTACTATATTTACTACTTAAAAATTAAACATTTCTTCTTTCCGAAAAAAAATGGCCAGCTGCTAATAGTTTCCTTCAAAATCCAAATATAACAGTTGAAACAAATTACTCTAATATCTCTCTTAAAGCCCAACCTAAATGTAATGAAACGTTCGTAGTTCGGGTCCCTAGTCTTATGAACCCTGGAATCGATGAGCTGACTGGATAGGGATTGTGAAAACCCCGATTAACTTGCCACTCTAGGTAGCATTAATTTCCTGAACTTCGTAAAATACTAAAAGTGATAGGGCAAATAAGTACGTCGATTGTAAAAAATTATTGTGACGAATAAAGTCGACCAAACTCCTTCTCAAATTTACTGAGTAGTATATGCCAATTTGTGTTGTACATGTTAATGTTTTTCCAGCAAATGAAAACTAAAGTGAAGGAAGTAGTTTCCTTTACAGCCCGAAAACGTTTGTGCAGCCAATTTTTTAGAAAAAGAAGAAAACTATTGCAGTAACAAAAGATATTGAAACATTTCAATGTTTGTGTTAAATTTTTGGAAACGACTGCAGCCAGAACCAGTGGAACGCTGCAGACGATGTAGGACGTGCGATACATCTGAAACAATCGATACAATTTTTGTATTGTTATTCGTACGAGCGTTTCTTTTATATGAACTAAAAAAATACCAAAGAATGCGCTGAAAAAAAATTCACTACTAGTTGCATAAAAGTATAGCTCAACAGTTTTTTATTTTAAATGGAAGATAATTTAATATTGAAGCTAGATCAGTTAGATTTTTTAATCAGACTTATATCCTTTTTACTATCACCGGCATCGGTTTCTAAGCCTTGTGTAACTGAACAATCGAAAAAACGCCAACTTGTAAATCTATGTTGAATTGGCCACTGAAGATATATTTTTAGATACTTTCAGAATAGATTAAAGAAAAAATATTTATATTTTTGTAAGCCTTCAAAGAAGAATGTCTTCAATCTAAGTCATCTCGGAGCGTGTGGGTAATAATAATAAAAAAATTGATCGTGGTGCATAAAGCATTTATGCCCATAAAAGATTTTTTTAAAGACCAGTTAAAATTTCATTCGCTAGGCATCCGTAAGTTTGGACAAATTTTTATATGTGACATATTTTACGGCGATCTTATTCCAAATACTAAAGTGCACCTTTCCAAATTCCAATAATGAAAATATTTCCATTTTAAATTAGTTTGAATATATGTGTTTTTATATATAAATTGGCGCTTTGTGCTTGCTTGCATTTTGATGTCTGTCCAACAAATGCAGGAACCTATACTTTTTTTGAGTCACAAATGGTCACACTGTCACACTGGCTATCTGAATAGTAGTACACACTGCTAACTACTCGGCAAATACGACCGCCAATGACGTGAAGAATAGTTCTCTGAAATGGTTTCCTTAATAGTCTCAAAAACACAGAGACATTGCTTAGTCGTCTCATTTCACTATACAAATAATTATTTGAGTTGCGCTAGAAAATATATTTTTTAATTATTTTTAAATCATCTTGCAAAATACAAGCTTTTTACCAATAGATAAGCAATAATTAAAAAATAAAATGATAACCAACATCTGCAGCAATATTTAGACTTACATCTATGCAACTTCAATCCATACTCTTCATTTACCACTCCACATTCAAGCCACTACACACCATATATGCACAAAATATTTTATGCGGTTACATATTTGAACTTTATAAACTCAAGAAAAACTTTAAAATACAAAATAACTTTTCGCTGACTTACGCAGTTGTGCACGCTACCTACAAGTGTATATATGTAGATATATACACTCGTACACCCATACGCAAAAGTATGCGACTCGTTGAGTAGTACATATCGACACTTCAACGACTTTCACTTCAACTTTTGTTCGCTGTTGTGCGTTTCCCACGCTTGCTGCTGCTTGCAGAGAGATTTTTTGTGTCCAAAGTTTTTAAATAAATATTCCGCAACTCTTGTATCTGCTACGTATGTAGGCACGTACATGGTTTTTCATGCTGCTTTCGTTAGGGAGCTTACTTACTTTCAATCTTGCATCACCCTCATCTTCATTAAAGTATGCCACAACGCCTGTGGTTATGCTAAGTTTTATAATTTTTTTTTTATTCACAACATATCTCAGGGTTGTTGTTGTTTTTTGTGGGTTGAAACTTAACGTTATTAAATGAACTTATGGTATTATATATATGTGTATTTTCTTTAGTATTCTTGTTATGGGTATTTTAGTCATTACAAGTGCTTCTCTTATAAATGCCAATGTGTGTGAGGGAATGATGGTCTGTGTGCGGGTGCTGCCGCTGACTTTGACTTGCAATGCTATTGGCCTGACAGTAGGTGTGTTTCTTTAACTTTGTTAGTAGTACATAGTAATTAAAGTGTTATTTTCTGTGAAATGTGGTATTATCGCAAGGTGTTTAAAGTGTAAAAAGAAAAAAAGAAAAACACCATAAAAAATGAAGTAAACTTGTAATTATTTTTTATTTGTTTCATTCGTTTGTTTTCAGGTAAAGCGTATTTTTTTCCAATATTCATATTTTTTGCAATGTATAGTTTTTTTTTAATTAGAAAAAGACTACTTATGCAGCCCCTAGTTGTTGAAATTGCTCGTCACATTAATATTGGCGCTTTGTAACCGTCGAACCAATTTTTCAAACTAAACGTTTCAGATATTGTCCTGAAATCCAAATTACAAGCATTATGTGTGTGAAAAAAACGACTTTGAATTTTCAGAAGTATTTTACAAGCAAATAAATTTTTATTTCAAAATTAAGTATGTATCTTGATAGAGAAAACAAGATAGTTTCACTCGAAAATTTTCGAAAATTATTAACCATCTAACCTAAAAAGATTTTTTGAATTTTTGATTTATTTTTGGGCTACCAATTTAAAAAAAAAAACGCTACAAAAAATTCAAAACCTTTAAGGGTAAACAAAAAAAAAAATAAAGAAAAATGAAACGTTCTCACAAAAAAGTCAAAGGCTTTTATTATTTTTTGAAATATATTGGAAATAAAATTATTTTCAGGTGACTTAACGTTTTTTTATAAATATAAAAATATAATAATATGTGAAATATTTTCAAAGTGGAAATATCTTGAAGTTAAAATGAAAATAAGGTATAATAAATATTTTTCTGTAAATTTTATATTGGGTGAAATTACCTTCCTTTTTTGTATCATGGGTATATACTCCCATGAGTATATGATATTCAGAGGAGATTTTCAGATCATATGCGAAAATTTTAACTCGGTTTTACCCCTAAATGCCTATCCCAGACATACTAGGAATTCTGAAAACAAGTCTAATAAGAAATATTTATAAATAGGAAGCACTCCATAATAATGAAGTTGGGAATCGAAACAGGATGATTTTGGAGGTATTTCGCAATGATTGTTTGAAGTTTTGTTTAATGCAATATATAAGAATAAGTGTAAAAATGATTAAACAAACCTTTTTCTAATTTTTCTGGGTTTTAGGCACAAATAACGTCGTGTCTGGCTTTTGTCTGATCTTGATTTGGTGATATCTGAGTTATGTCCTTCGGTATTTTTTATTTCAAATATTGTAATATTGTGTGCGAGAATTTAATTATAGCCCTTATAAAGTATGCCACTTATGTATGTATATTGGTCCTGTAGCTTTCAGATTTCCATATGTTCTTAGACATATAGCTAAAAAGTAATATCCATAACATAACTTGTTTTGTTTGTATTTTCAAAATTATTACAGTGCTCGAGAAATGGTAAAAAATAGAATTTTTTGTTTACAATAAAATTTCGAGTTTTTGTTATATGAGCAGAAGTTTCTAAGACCATTCGAAAGGCCTACCTGGAAAGTGAACATCAGAATATATTTGAGTTTTA